TGAGATGAATGAGAGCAGTTCACCTCAGAAGCAATTGACACCTTAGGCTTCACTCGAGGTCAATCAGGAGGGCTCCACACTCTATGCAAAATCTTGAAACTAAAGTTCTACATGAGAGACATTTGACTGCAGATGGGAAAAGAAGGTCAGGAGGATTAAAATAGCATGAGTTGATAAAATAAACAGTGATTCCAAGTCATTTGAGCTGAAGCATTTACTATTATTTCACAATCTGAAATGTGTTCCTACTGTTAAGACTAAGGTCTACTCTTCTATTCCAACAGGAAACAGATGTTGGATACAACTGCCTAGTTCCCAAAGCTGCTGAAATCTTTATTTTCACAGCACTAGCCAGAATCCTATCTAGGCCTATATGTCAATACAGTTTGGGCAAAGTACAAGAAGTACTGACTGTTTAAACCCTTCACTTTCAAATATTTGCAGTTTCCATTGAGAGCACCTAATGACTTAAAATTACAAGGTCAGATGCTCTAAAGTGTAGGGGAAGCATTTAACTTGTCATCACAGTTGCTTCCCACATTGGCAACTCCAGGTAGTGTGATCCAAAATGAAGAACAGCAGCCTTACTCACATGTGTACCTAATAGAATAACTACTGGTTATCAAAGAAACTTTCTTATAAGTTTAAAATAGTTAAATCTGACTGGAGGTGTGGCTCAAGCGGTAGAGTGTTTGCTTTGCAAGTGCAAAGCCCTGAGTTCAAACCCCAGTCCCACCAAAACAAACAATGAAAAGATAAAATAATTAAATCTTTTTAAATCATTATAAGTTTTTACTTATAACTCAACTATTTTCATTGTTTCTCTTAAAATTTGCTTATTAACAGTAAGTCTACTAGTCAATGCCAGGTTTTACAACTCATAAATGAAATGGAGATATTATACCATACATTTGTTCAATAATTATACATAAAAGATTTCAGAGATTCTGAAGACAGACTTTAGGATTGCTCAAAGCAAAATAGTCATCTTATAAGTTCTAGAATCTGCCTACCACACTGCCCTTATAGTTAACAATACTGTATTGTATCCATAACAATTTAAGAGAATCAATCTCATGTTAAGTGTTGTCACCACCATAAAATAAACTTTTAAAAATGAAGTTGAATCTTATTTATTTTATAAGGAAATAATGGTAGTATAAATCCTCTTTCCCCAGTCTTATGTCCTCATCCTAATTCACAGAACCTACAAATTTGACCTTAATTTGGAAAAGGGTCTTTTCTCATGTAATTAAGAACCTTGACATGAGATCATACTGGATTATTCAGGTGGGCCCTAAATCCAATGCAAGTACCCTTGTAAGAGATACACAGAGAAGAGTCAGAGCAGGCTACATGAAGATGGAAGCAGATATTGAAGTTACACTGTCACAAACCAAGGAATACCTGGTGCCACCAGAAGTTGGATAGGTGGGAAGGAATTCCCCCAGAGCCTTTGGAAGGGTCATGTTCCACCAACACCTTGATTTCAGTATTCTGACCTTCAATCTGAGAATGAATTTCTCCCATTTAAGTCACCAAGTTTATGGTTATTTGTTACATAATCCGAGCAAACTAATACACCTGGAGAATTTAAAAACCAAAAAGATCTTTTAAAAAGTGTTTTTTGGACTAGAAAAAAACCTAGAAACACAAGAAAAATGGACTAGGTGATTCATGATTTCTTTCAAAGCTGATGTCTATTAAAATACCTGATACTCAAATGTAATATATGCCCTCATTTGATAATGTAAAAAATAATTAGAGTCATGTGGGTGATACTACAGTAGTGTGAATAGGTACTGAGTAGAATGCTAATGAATTTTAAATTTGTTAGGTATAATAATGGCATTATGGTTATGTAGGAACATATTTTTTAGATGTTCACTAGTCTAAAAGTAAAAATCACACATTAGATTGTATATGTATACAATGGAATACTATACCTATAAATAAAGATCAAAGTGGGCTCAAAAAAAAAAAAAAGCTAGATGGCGTCTGGCACATTGAAGACATTAATGAGTTGCCCCATTATCCACTGGGTGTTACAGCAATCCATTCTGTTAACACCAGAATGCCATAACCCAGCCTCAGCTACTTACCGAAGTCTGTACTTCTCAATTTACACTAAACTCTGCACTGAATCATCTTCACATATACCTGCCAGAAGCCCTGAAAACCTTGCAAATTGTGATTCAGTAAGTCTGGGGTGGTACTTAGGCATTTGCATATCTAACAGGTGTAGCAAGAGATGCAATACCACCATTGATTGAAACCTTGAATTAAGGTCATTCAGCATCTGGACCATCTGTCTATTTTTATCCAAAACTCCTTGGGCTTACATGCTAAGAAGCAATGTTATGGAGAGAGAGGGAAACCCAGGCTGGAGGACGAAGAATATATTTAAGAAAGAAAGACGCACTTTGAGAGGAATCTACAGTACCACCACCCGCCCCCCGGAAATGGATCACCCATGCAATGTTACAATCAAAGGTGGAGTAACAGGACTGAGAAAATAAAGTGTGTGGTCAAAACATTAAAATATTTCCTAATTAAAGTATAAGCGCCATGTAAATGATAAAATGTTTATATACTGATGTATAAAATGTCATGAAAAAATTAAAAAGCCACAAAATATCTACTGTATGCCAGATACTGTGCTAGTTTCAGGGTCTCTGGTGATAGTTCCTTCCCTTCTCTCAAGGACTAATCCAGGGCACTAGCAGGAAAGCCAAAACCCCCAACAGCACAGTTCTAACTAATCTCAAACCTTGTACTCAGGCCTGATCTCAGAGCATCTATTAAGAACTTAGCTGGTAGCTAAAGCTGATTCTCCTTGTGGTCACTTTAATTGCAGAACACCTGATTATTGGACAACAGTTTGCAGTGGCACTATGTTTAAGAACTTGACACTTATTAAAAGGTGTTTGAAGAAATTCTCCACTCCTGGTTAAGTAAAAATATAGAAAGGATATTAAATGATACTGATGTGACTAACAAATAAAGCTAGAAGATTTGGTCTCTGACTCGTGGGGATTCCTTAGTGATTCGTGTACACCAAACTACATTACTAGAGTTGGGAATGGACTGATGTTTAAAAAAAAAGTCCAGCTATACCCATTTTCGTAACATATGATGTTAAACTATACAGCTGAATTAAGTTCAAGATGACATTAGTCATTAATTCATTAGTGTTTAATAGTACAACTCTGACTCAAAACTCTATCTGCCTCCTCCCCAAAACATCCACAATCAGCACACATGCACTCATTCATATAGCCAGTGTTTTATGAGCTCCTTATCACATGCCACTGTGCTAGGCAATGAGACTGCAGCAGTGAGGAGCACACAGTCTTGGTTTCTGGAATGCTCATTCTTAAGGCCTATTCCTTCAAGAGCTACTTTCCATATCCCTGTAGCAGACATCATTAATCAATCGCAGTGCCCTTTCCTGCCATGCTCCTACAAAGACAGAAGATTCTAAACACAATACTCATGAGAATATTACCAGTCAGAGATGGAACACAAGATGAAACCTATTGACTATTCTAGATTCTAACCAAACTACACTGAAGCCACCTGTTCTTCACACAAAATATGCCTTGGTTGATGCTGTTTTGTTTAACTGCCTATTCCTTCTATGAGCATCTAAACCAACTTATCTGTAGATCTAGTTCAAACAGCCTACCTTAATTCCTCCCTAGTCAACTTCAAAACCCTCATCTGAACTTTTATACTTTCCTTTTTTTATGGTACTTGCTATGTCTCTCATACAAGCATCTTTAAAGCTAAGAAATGCCACATTCTTTACCTTATATTAACCACAATACATCTGTACCACACACACAACTGGATGCATACACATCTACCAATATCTTTGCTAAACAGTGGCTTAACTGATTTTAAGAAAATTGGGGATTAAGGGAGAGCAAACAAGCTTATTTGGGGAAAGCTCATTGTATAGATGTTCAGTGGAGGTGTATTTTCACTGCTCTGGTTACCATCAGGTTACATTTGCAAAGCATTTACTCTCAAGATTTTATTTATATGAAGAAAAAGTATATTTGATGTACAGAAAAAGCTATCATAGATTATTAACCTGTAAGACATGGTCTTCCAAGTAGCTGTGAAGCCCAATACTGTATACAGTACTGGCGTATATATACTGATGTGCATTTTTCCTGGGAAAGAATTCATAGCTTTCACCATGTTCTCCAAAGAATTATAACTGATACATGTGCAGTAATTGCAATGACTAATGCCAACAGACACTGCTGTTTGTCTCTTATGTGTCAAAATGGCATGAGGGAGAAGAACCTTACTACTCATCTGACATTTATGTCCCTCTCTGGATGATGCTGGTACTCTCTCTCAATCGTTTTTCTTGTTTTCACTGTTCCTGCTCAGCTTTGGATTTTTTTGTTGTTTTTTTAAGCACAGAAACTTTTCAATGGTCAACAGTATCTACTAAACTTCCATATTTTCAGAACTTAAACCACTAATGATAGAAGGGATGAGCCAATTTGCGTTATAATACATATAACATGGAAATGTCAAAAACACACACGCTGTATAACTATCTTGAACAAAAATGTCTTTTTTCAAAAACAGAGAACAGAAAGGTAAAACAGGTCCTGTCTGGGAGGTTGGTACCAATGGGAGGGGGGAGGATATAAGGAAAGGGTGTAGCAGGGTGATGAAAGTGGTGGAAATATGTACTCATGACTGAAAATGGTAAAATGGGATCTGCTGAAACTACTCCAGGAATGGGGGAAGGGGAATAAAAAATGATGGAGGAGGTGAATTCAACTATGATATATTGTAAGAACTTTTATAAACGTTACAATCTACCCCTGAACAATAATTAAAAAAAAAAGTAATGAATTTAGCAAGCAGGTTTTGCTGTTAAAAGGTATGTAACTCCAAGAAGCATGTTCTCAAAAAAAAGAAAAATCCAAATTAAAATATATTAATTGGTGTTTGCAATTGTTACTAACAGTACTTTTCTATACACAATTAACGTACTAGGAAAAGAAATGCATATCTTTAAGACAAATAATGTCAATGTATTAATGTTTATTTAAAACTGCAAATTTTCCAGTGTGAATAGACTGGTTTTCATCATACCATATTTACAGATACCAAGGGACTATACCTAACTTCTCCATAAGACATACTAGATCAAACAATGGGATCAATTCTTTTAAACAACTTAAGTACTTAAGCTACAAACAATAAGACAGTCACTTATAAGACATCATTTAAATAAAAAGGCTTTTCAATGAGTCTTATTTGTCATAAACAATTAGTGTGCAATCAAAGCTAAATACATTCCTTGGGGCATAGTAGATATAAACAAAATAATGTTAAAGAATTAATGTTATTTAAAAAAATAAAACCCTTCTCTGAGAATATGACATTACACCACATTATTATTATTGGATAATAGGAAACAGTAAGATATGTTTCGATATCTTTTCGAATTTTGTTGTTTCTATAAAGATAACAAAAATTTTAACAGAACATGTAATTCATAAAGTCTAGAAGATGAGCCATAGGAGGTTCTCTCCAAGAGCATACAATAACCTACAAATAATGTCTCATTTCAGTGCGCATGGGAAGAAGCATATTTGTAATTCAAACACAGCTCTTTCACTCCAGCTCTCCAATTCCTTATTTGCAAAGACTTTAGGTGGGTGATTACACAGTAACAGCGCCTATAAATGTGGTAATTTTAAAAAGTAGCGACAATTCACTCATTCTTTTCTACTTTATTGGTTTGCTCATTTCATACGTCCATGTTAATGACCAAATATGTACAATATTTTAAAGATAAAAATAACAACTATATACAGTTTGCAAAGATCAAGTCCTAAGCACACATACCTTCCATCTAGTCCAATGACTAGAGACTTGTCAATACCAGTAGTAACTACTGGGCACTACAGCGGCTAACAGAAGCCTCAACACCATATCCAAATTTGTTTTTCCTTTCAAATGCTTTTATTTTTCTTAAAGAAATGTGTACAGTTTATCTGAAACTGGCAATAGCTACATGAGCAATGCCTTATGCCACAAATCAAAGTCTTTCCCTACTCAAAAGCTACTGTTAATTGAAGGCAATTTTAACATTCAGATCAAATTCAGATGTATAGATCCCAGATACCTGGGCATGAAATATGTAAATCTGCCAAGAGAAATTAGATATTTTTCTTCTTTCCCTTTATATAACCCACTATATAATAGTGAACTAAATATGTTTGTTTCATAGAAACAACTTACATTTGCCAATACAGGGCAAATGGTCTATGTACAGATACATTACGACTGCCTAACTGACAGTGAGTGTTGCTGACTAGGCTCCAGGTCAATGGAGCTAATATGGTGGTGCTCTCTGCTGAATGGACTTTCCCTTCAGGATTCGTCGGATCTAGAAGAGAAACAAACAGCATTTGTGAATTTTATTTTTGATGGTGTATTTTTTCAGAGTTGTATTTCTTTCCTAAATACTCTACAACACTCCTACTAACTTAGAAGCATATAAAGAAATATGCATGATCAAGATTTAAGTGACTTCAAAAACACAACTCATTTTAAAGCTTATTGTGGGTTTTCTATAATCTTTGAAGGCAAAAGCATCTCTAATTAAAATTATCTGAAGTTGAAAATTTCCAGCTCTCATGAGGCCTGTATTCCTTTCCTAACCTTTACTCCTGTTATTTGTGAGAACATTATATATGGCAGTATATATAGAGAGATAGATAGTTATATATATATTATGGTATGTTAAAATATCTCACTTATCTTGAAGTCAGCCATAACTAATAAAAATGTAGAATCTACCTTACAGAAAGACAAGTTCATCCTTAATACCTTTCAAGTCAACACAGCTGTCATGATATCCAAATATTATAGCATCTATGTATAACATGATGGGTCACAGCAAAGTCTCCAGGCCTATTCAGAGTGATTGATTATATATCCCAGTCTGACAAATTTTATTATCTATTTCTCACAATATTAAAAGAAACAATTTAGAAGAAAATTGGGGTAGGAGATACAACACATAAGTGCCAAAATGAAATGACACAAGATATAGCCTAACAATAAGAGCAAGGGGAAAAAAGTTCTCTCCTCAACAACACACACAATATAAACGCATAAAGGAGAGTAAGAACATTCAGTAAGGAGTCAAATGGACCTCCATACCTCAATAATCTCTAAGGGAATTGCTGTATGAGTACACACCACAAAGTGTAGGGCAGAAGCCAATATTGGGCTTACGACTCTGCCATTTATTAGATAATGATGCTTCCTATCCTTGGAACCTGTCTGTCTAAATATCAGTTTTCTGGGCTAAACCTAACAGTACAAAGTGTTTTTAACTATTAAATACAATAGTATACATGAAAACTGCTACAAACTATCAGGAGATTCTTTCAAAGTTATAAACAGCTCTAAAAACAGTGCTACTATAACACTGTGGATGTAATGACAGCCATAAATCAAAGAACAATCAAAATTGCCTTCTATGTATTTTATTTGGTGATTAATAATGTGCAAAATTATCTACACATAGCCACAATCACTCTGATTCCCTCTAGGAAAAGATTTCCTTCAAAAATATTTTATTTCTTAAAAAGATTAAGTTCTTATCATCTAAAAGTTCACAATGAAACTATTCAATTTCCAATGATAGTGTATAATCACATTTGATGAATACAGCATAATTTTTACATAAAACATGTTCTAAGTTACAGAGATAGCCTATTTCTTATGCAGTTTATCTCTTAGTAGATAGAAATAACAGCTTATGTTCATTCAGCATGTGCTTTGAACTACTTTGAACACTTTACAGATAACGACTCATTTAATATCCACAATATCTGAAGGGTCATAGTCTATAAAACTAAGATTCTCTTTCCTTGGTATCTGCAGGAACCTTAGTTACCTTCTCTCTCATCAGCTTCCAAACCTTGAACTACTGACTTTCTCTAAACCCAACCTGACCTGGCTATTTGAGGTCCATGAATAAACACTCAAATTTATTATTCTTCCTTTGGAAACAAAGTAACTCCAAAGTACTACAATGACTACCTGGCAGAGCCTATCCATAGAGCACTAGTTGGCCTTCTCCCTGGACCTTTTTGTGTTTCAGATCAGAGTGCCTAAAGGTACTTTGTTTCCCCTGTAGCCCTCACCTGTTCTCCCACAGGGCCATCAGGAACCAAATGCACTGGCTGTTCATTCTCCAAGTTCCGAGTACTTGGATCTGCTCCCTTCCTCATCAACAGGCGGACTGCATCCAACTGTGTCACCCGATACTGCAGGCTTGCAGCAACATGGAGGGCAGTGTTTCCATTGTAAGCCTGAAGACAAAGAAATTAAATAATACACATCAGGAAGGGGAACTTTCCATAAAGGAAGCTCAAAAGCTTGAAGAAGATGCTAACAAGGTCATTCCAACACAAGTGTTTTTGAAGCTTTCTGAAATTACCTTTGCATTCACAAATGACAGGCAACTGGGCAGCTCCAAAAAGAGACGAATAAGTTCCAGATTTGCTTCTTCTGCTGCCAAATGCAGGGCTGTGCGGCCACTTTTACGATCCTGGGTTTAGAGAAAGTCAAGAAAGACAAGAAAGGAAAATAATGAAAACCCAAATACCATGTCTTAGAATATACTTTTTGCCCTATCTCTCAAACGTCTGAATCATACTTTGAATGTTTCCTTCTCCACAAAGCCATCCTAAAGCCCAAGCTAAATGGAACTTCTTATTCCTTTGAAGTTCCCTATTAATTTATCTACTTGTCTCTTATCACAGTCTCCTCTTGTATACAAAGTGGATACAAATTGTATAAAAATATAGAAATACAGAGTGATGCTTTCTTATCATGTCTTGTATCAAAAACCATTTAGTATGCATTCACCTGTGTCTCCAGACTTAGAGGTCACCATGTGAGGTCACCACAGTGAAGCTGGAGCTCTCTCCTTTTTTTATTAGACAGTACTCCCCTTCCCCAAGGGCCCACTTGGCAAACTTTTTCACAATTAAATGATCTTTTTTGGATAATAATCCACAAATTGAAAGCAAATCAAGGAAGCAGATTAAAGTATCTTATAAAATCTAAGCTTATTAACTACCCATACAGTGCTACTTGATTCACTATTAAAAAGAGAGCAAAAACCTTCAATCTGTACTTGGGAGTAAAGACTTTTCTCCCCTACCCCATCTCAAACCTCTTCTGTGAATTTACCTTTGCTTCCACTGATGCTCCCATTTGAATCAGACACTTAATGGTATCAACCAGACTTTTGTTCTTCAGTAAAAGCTCTTGAACTTCAGGTGAATGAGGCTGTTGATTTCTCTGAAGTTCATGTACCACAGCATTGTGGGCTATAACCGCACAATGGAGTGGAGTCAGGCCTAGGGAAAAAAGGATCAAAGTCAAGTCTTGCGGTCACTAACTACAAACCTTGAAAATGGCCTCTCACTTCACCTACAAATGGGCTCCATAAAACTACTAAAGCAATCTGAATATACTCTGTTCACTCTTAGTGATAATTTTACCTATAGGACATCTTAGTTTTAATAGCCTCCCTTTTTACCATGATACTTAACACTCTTAGAATTTATGGGCCCCACTTTCCACATGGTTCTTTATCCAATCTATACTTACCATCATAGTTAGTTGCCTCAAGATCCACAAACTGATTACTCCTCACTGCTCCCTTCTGGATTGCCTGTAAAATTTTTAAATAGACCTGTTAGCTCTTACTGTCCCAAGAAATGAGCAAATCAACTCAAAACAGATTACTGCAACAGGCAACCTATATGCAACTTCTAATATCCACGCCCAATCTCTGGCTCTGCGAGGATGGAAACCTAGTTCACTGTCTCTTACCTGTAGCACTTGGGAGTGGCCCTTCTCAGCACAGACATGCAGAGGTGTTCTTCCCCAACAGTCTGTGGTATTCACCTGGGCCCCCAGGTTCACCAGATCTTGCACGATGAGGTGCTGATTGGCAGCTACTGCCACCTGAAAGGCACTCTGTGGCCATAGAGAGAAAAAAAGGTATTCTTTAAGCCTGTAACACTATTGTAACAAACAATATGAAACTAAACTATGATTGAGGGGAAAACCCACATACCACATAGAGAAAATAAATCCTATTAATAAGCAATCAGATACTGCAAGACAAGGAAACTAAAATAACTTTAGGGTGCGGCCTAATTATACTCAATCTTTGATCAAATAATACAAAGTTAATATTAATAACTTCAAGGTTGACTGACAAAAAGTCAGTATCTCAAAGTTAATATTAACTAAAGCCTCTTGATTTCAAACTCTGAAACAATCTGCACATGAGACTGGTCGTCATTTGCTTCACTATGACCACATCTTCCATCTCAGACTCCGTCAACATCCTCACCTGTCCATTGTGCTCTTTAATATCCAGCATGTGAAGTGCATTCATCTTTCGTGCGAGAACATAGGAAAGTGCTCTTCTCCCTTGGGCAACAGCAATATGGAGGAACCTGGCAGACAAGGAAAGGAAAAGAGGTAAATTACTTTTGATTTCACCAAGTTTGTCTTAACAACAACAAAAAAACTTGAGTTGGGTGTTATGGTACACACTGTTAATTCCAGCACTCAGGAGGCTGAAGCTAGAGTTCAAGGCCACTTAATGAAACCCTGTCCCTGTCTCAAAAAATAAAACTTCCTTTAGTGCTTTTTTAAATGTATTAGTATACGCAAACATTATAGAGCTTACTATCCCTTTTCTGCATAATCTCTCTGAATTGGAACAAGATGAGTTAGGCTAACAGAAATAAGAAGAGAAAGGCCAAGCACCATGATGAGCACTTAAAATCTATTATTTTTTTAATACCCATAAAAATCTGTAAGTAAGGTATTACTATTTCATATGTCAAGAAATAAAGATAGACTTTATAAAACCTGCCCATGGCCATTAAGACATCAGGATAGATTAGGATTCAGTCTACAAATCAACTCACAATTTATACCTAATCAAAATCTAACTGATTCTGCTCTCTAAACACTGTGTACCCTGGTCTTCCAAAACCAATTATTCAAGAAGATACACCTATTTTTATTAATGTATAAAAAGTAATTTTTTCAGTCAAAAAAAATAAAAAAGAAATAGATAAAACAAACTTTTAGCTCTTGCTGAGTAGCTACTTTGGTTAGCCAACCACCAAGGTATAACTTGGCATACTCTAGAAAAATTCTGTGCCACTACGTCCAACTAGTATGGCCTACCAAATTAAGTACATAAGATAAAAGGATACTCACGTGTCACCGTCAGCATCCTTTGAAAGAAACTGGTCTTGAGAAATATTTGCCAATTTGCTTTCTTCCTGCTCTACTTGCCACTGGAAAAAAGACTTCCCTAACTGTGTGGTGTTCATTGGATTTCCGATGATATTCTGAAACGGCTGTGAGGTGTTTAAAGAGGTGGACCCTGCATCATGTGCCCCCATGGCCTCACAGGCACTGTTGGGCATCACGGGGAAGTTCTGCAGATGAGCATCACTTTGTTGCTGGACACTGGAGGAAGTGTGAATGGGAACAGCAGTATTCTCAGATTCCCCATGACCACTTAGAAGGGATACAAAACTTTGGTTTGAGCAGAACTGTGGTTCGTGACCATCAAAGGGGTTTGGTTCATAGTTGGGGGACTGGGAAGTTCTGGAATAAGGACTGTATTCCAGAGTTGGGTTGTGGGTAAAGTGCTGCTGTTGCTCTACATTCTGGTGCTGTGGAGAATACTGGTACATGGAAGCCTGGTCCATCACTTGTGGGGAGCTGCTGACTTGGAAAGGTTGATATTTCTGAGGTGGAGAGAAGACCTGCCCTCCATGGAAGTCTTGACACTGCTCCCTAGGGGAGCTCTGAGGTACAGGGCTCATCCAGCTAACTTGGACTGTGTTCAGGGACACTGGGCTGCATTCATTTTTAATGTTTATAATACTCTGAAGCAGATCAGCACTGCTGTCCAGCTTGGATTCACTGTGATGAACATCTTCCATGCTCTCACCAGGTGTTGGTGTTTGAGGTGGTGTCTGGAAAGAAAGAAAATGAAACTTGTACATTTACTTCCTCCTAAAAGTATTCGAGGAGCTGGCGGGTGTGGCTCAGTGGTAGAGTTAGGGTTCAATTCTTTTTAAAAAAATTTTTTTTGAATAATAACATTATTACAGAAATGACAGTCACAATGTATTTAGAGAAAAATAAGATATTTACCAAAAACTGGGTATGCAATGGAGCTGGCCTTTTGTAAGCTGGTCCATCAGACAAAAAGTCAGGTCCTTTTCTTTTCCCACTATATGATACTGTATTCTTCAATTCTGTACCCAGGAAATTGATATGAAATGCGTGATCATTTTACTTTACAATTTTTACTTACAACCACACTAAATTATTTTACTCTAAAGCCCCAATAAAATCATGAATAAATAGTATTAACTCTTACCTGTGAATTGCTCAGTGTTCACACTTTGTGTCTATAAGAAAAAAAATCTCCAATTTAGTGCATATAAAATGATTTCCTACTTACTACGTATCTATAAAGACTTATTGCTACCACTCTTTATAGCACACCATAAATCTCTGATATAGCTATACTATCAATATTTATTTTCTATCTCAATTTTCACTCTCACCTCCATTTTCACTTTCACCTTATTCAACTCAGGTCAAGACAAAATTAATTTAAGACCACTTGACTTTTTCCCTTTCTAATCAAAATGTTCCATTTTTATTGGGCCCTATTCACTTCCTTGCCCCTAACTTGCTTCCATTTATTCACTCATTAAGTTCCCTTGCACACCTACCAGGTGCCTGGCACTGAACTATGTAATAGGAATATAGCAGACAAGACAAATATGGCTTGTCCTATGGACTTTGTCATCTATGAAAAACTGCAACCAATTTACTAGACCTAGGCTAGCAGAGAAAAACCCTGGTAAGACTCTCTTCCCATCCCCACTCAAAACAAAAAAATAGGTGCCACCTTAAAATCATCCACAACTTGGCCAGAAGCCTTCTGTTTATGACTTCGGATATGCAGCAGGAGTTCCTTCACTGAGTTCTTCACTCGAACACCTTGAAAGGGTCCTCTCTGCTGCCTGCCAACCCCCATATGAGGCTCAACTGTTCAAAAGAAAAAAAAAAGTCCCAATTAAAACTTCACAGAGACAAATCTTAATAACCCCCAAAGCACAGCTGCCCAATGTGTAAGGTTCTCAAGGGACAGACTGCAAAGTCTTTCCAGCTCAATTTGGTCAGTGCTTCCCACGTCATAACCCAGCTCTTCTCAAGGGTCTATGTGGCCTGGTAGCTTTCCCCACCAGGCACCCTAAGGAATTAAAGCAAATGTGGTCAGGGATCCTGGAGCCAATGTATGACTCAAATTTTTCTGTCTCTCCGTACTATCCAGCCACGAAACAGCATCACAGAGTTCACCAGACGCTCACAAATTTATAATTACTCTTTCAACCTTGACAAAAATCTTGCGGGAACAGAGTATAAATGATGTTATCTGTGGTTTTTTCAAAACAACAGCTTTATGTTCACCGAGAAATATTTTTTAAGTACAGTATTCTACTTCTGACAACTACTATGTTCTCTTGGTATACACTGTGAACACAAACATGCGAAAAGTCAGGCAATGATCTTCTCACAGTCAGGAGAAGTAAGAACTTAAGAAGATGGGACAAGAAACAATGAATAATTTGAACACATACATAAAAAAATACATGAGCTAAACAGCTCAATGGTGGCCTGAATTAAATGATTAGTTGGTCTTATAGTTAAGCTTAAGGATTTCAACAGATACCAGAATTGCCAGAATCTAACAGAACATTCCTCAGGAATAACAGCGGTTAGTAACTTCACGTCACAGGAAGAAAAATGCAGTTTCAGGAATCCCCCATGGCTGTGTGGTAAAATAGCTTCAGCAAAATAGTTTCAGCCAGATGAAGACCAAAGTTGCTAAGGGCCTCAGAAAAGGTCGTTAATACACACACACACTTTTTAAATAGGCTACACTCCTAATTACTGTGGCTTAAATCACGTCTTAAGTAATTTTAAATGAGAATTAATTTTTAAAAGTAAAAGTCAACCAAAACAAGGAGTAGCTAGCAGTGGGTAACACCAACAAGAGATGGTTTCAAAAAAAAAAAAAAAAAATTATGCCCAGCCGGGCGCCGGTGACTCACGCCTGTAATCTTAGCTACTCAGGAGGCAGAGATTAGGAGGATCCCAGTTCAAAGCCAGCCCAGGGGAAGTGCTTTGCGAGACCCTATCTCGAAAAAAAACCCCACCACAAAACAGGGCTGGCGGAGTGACTCAAGGTGTAGACCCTGAGTTCAAACCCCAATAGAGACCACCCCCCAAAAAAATCATCCGCATAGTCTTCAACCTCTGAGATTATCCAGGCATTCTTTAATTCTACCAACTGTGGCATCCTGTTTTCCCTCAAATTATGCAACTGTTCATGAAGAAAGGAAAGTAACCAATTTGCAACCACAGAAAGGAACGTTACGCCTCTGCTTGCTAGACATAGTTTATCCATTCTACAGGACTCAGGAAAACAAGACCACAGAACTGTGGGCAAGACTCTTTTCCAAGACTCTCCAACACCATAAACTAAAGGCTTAATTAACGTGGGCTGCTTTTCAGACCAGCTTCTCCTCACACCTTGGTAAGAGCGGGTTCTTTTCTTTAATGGCAACGTCCTTTTACTTAAAACTTCCACAAATCGTAACCATAAACACTGGTCCCAAAACCTTGTCCCCTGCCACAATTCTTCACTAAAAGCTTAAGAATAAAGTAACACCTACATCAGATCCAAACCTTGTCATTTTTATTCGGTAAGGTTGGGAGGGAAGAAGAGAGGGAAAGAGACAGGGAGAAAGAGAGAAGGAGGGGGGAGGGAGGGGGGGAGAGAGAGAGAGAGAGAGAGAGAGAGAGAGAGAGAGAGAGAGAGAGAGAGAGAGAGAGAGAGAGACACGTTCCCTACCCCCACCCCGCGCTCTGCTCTGAACCGCGCTTCCCTGACTGGGCAGTCAAAGGGGATCAGTAATGCGAGGCGCCCAGACCACAACGAGGCGTCCAGTAGTCGCTTTATACCTCATCGCTAGTGTGCTTAGTCCCGCCCCGAAGATGGCAGGGACCACCTTACACCTGGCCGACGCACGTCCCACCTTGGGAGCCCCGCCGTCCCCTCCGTCCCAGGCTGGAGGACCCCGAAGAAACTGGGGCGCGGGGCCGGGTGCTGCCGGGCGGGTGTGTACCTGGCGGGCGCTCGGCGCGGGCGCCGCCTCTCGCCCGGGCCTCCACAGCCCCGCAGGAGGACACGGAGGAGGCGGAGGAGAAGTCGGAGGAGTCGGAGCCGGGCGAGCCGGGCGCCGAGGGCCCCGACGAAGAGCAGCCGGCGTCGCAGACGCCCGGGGCGGCGGCGGGCGGCGAGGCGCCGTAGAAGTAGGCCAGGTTGAGCGGGCTGGTCATGAGGCCGCAGTCGCCGGCCGCGTCCAGCAGCCCCTCTCCGCCGCGGCTGTCGTCCAGCAACTTGTCCACAATCATGCTCCCGGGCTCGGGGACCCCAGACACCTGGGCCACCGGCTCGCTGCGCGCAGATCACCGCACCGAGGACCTTCGGGAAAGCGGGCACGGGCGCGCCCAGGGGCTCCCCGGGTATTTAACCGGCCGCCGCGCACGACGGCCTCCCCCGCTCCCCGGCCCGGCCATTGGCGGCGCAGGAGCCGCCTCCCCGCCCCTCCTCCGGATGCGCCTGGTTTCCAGTAAAATGTACAGGATGAGGCAATGCGCCCTCCGCCCTCGTCCCGCCCGCCCGGCTCCGCCCAGACCGGCCGGTTGTTTTCCTGCCCTTCACCTGGAAACCCCGAGGGCCGAGCGCCCCTTCCGCCTCCAGCCTTGGGGGTCCCGGCCGAGCCGAGCGCCCCCTGCGCCCAGCGCACCCCTACCGGGCCTGGGCCCCAAGAAAAGGGGGCGCGCGCGCGAGGGCCGTGGGCCTGCGGGGGGGCGCGGGAGGCCCGGCGGGAACAGGTGGACCCGGTTCCGGACTTGGAAGCTCTGCGCCCCTCACTCCTCCACGCGTCCTGGCTCGGATCGCCAAGTGAAGGCGTCTCCTCCAGGGCCTCGGACGCCTCAAAACTCATAAGCGTCGCCAGCCTTCTTTTAGGCAGAGCCCCAGATTCAGAGATGTCGAAACATTTTTGTCCTCAGATTATTATCTGGGCCATAACTGATCATTTTTGGGGATGCAGCCGTGGAATACAAAGTAATTCCCACACTTTTGTATCACTCAATACTAAATAAATTTAAGGACGCCCCTTGCTTCCCGGGTGTTTAAGCCTCAACTATGCTTAGTCTTCCCTACACCGAGGCCGGCCTTCTTTGTGAAAAAGAAACCTGTTTGTTTTACCCTTGAACTTCAGAATGCACTTTAAAATTTATTGTATGACTACAGTATTCTACTTGGGCTTGGACTAGAACTACACCACTAGCTTTTCTGGTTCTCCAGCTTGCAGAGAGCCAATCCTTCAAAATAAATACGTTTGTATACACCAACACACACACACATGTATATGCACCATTGATTCTGCTTCTCTGGAAAACCCCAATACAGAGGGCTTCTCCAATAAAATCTATCTGGGTGCTGGTGGAATGGCTTAAGTGGTAAGAGTACCTGCGTAGCAAGCAGGAGGCCCTGAGTTCAAAACCCCAGTGCTACAAAAAAAAAAAAAAATCTATGGGTATTTTTTTTCTTCCCATTAACATATGTGTAATAAAGGACTTAAATGTCCACTCAAATAAATTTATAGATAAGGGTTTTGTGGAGTTTTTTTTTCAAAATTTATCCTCCCCCTAAAATTTTGTTTTATTTGATATGTAAAAATTCAAACCAAAACGTCATGGCCCCTGGAAAACTTAATATGAACAAATATGGTCTGCAAAAGGAGAAATCGATTCCAAGGTAACTGGATGAAACTATTAAAGAAATCAAAATATGGCACTGATAGCTTTCCCTTGGCTTTATAGACGTTAATAATTTACTTCATTGTGTTTTATGCAATGGAACATTTTGAATAGTTTTATGGTCCCAGTTATGTTGCAAAACCATTTTGAGACCAGTAATTAAGAGTTCTAAAACAGGAATTGAGTTTTTAAATGTAGATGTAATAAACTTTTTATAAGACAAAGTTATTTAGAACAGCTTTTCACAACGGACATGAAAAAGCCAGTATCTTACAGGGCAAGTTATTATACTGCATTGGCAGAAGAAATGAACAGATGAGATACCAATGAAGGCTGCTAGTTTATTTTGCTGAAAGCCTTCTAAATGAAAAGTCAGCAAGAGAAATCACAGCAAGCGGCTTTCAGTGATACATACAGAAACTCACTGAATTGAAGATTTGACTGTAAACTGATCTCGTATGCAGAACTGCACTTTGCCTTAGAAAGGAGAGATTTACAGACGGTACAGACCTGCTGTGTTGGTAATATTCATCTGGCATCAGCACCAGCTAACTATTTGAATAGTAAAACTGCTGGTACCTTAAAACAAACCAAGGCAGGGAAACAGTAAGAATCACTGTACTTACTCTTCACCACCACCTGCCGGCAGAAATTAAATTAAAAAAAAAAAAAAGAAAAAAAGCCAGGTGCTGGTTCACGCCTGCAATCCTAGTAACTACTTGGCAGGCTAAAATGGAGAGGATTGCAGTTCAAGGCTAATAGTTTTCAAGACCCCATCTCCAAAAATGACCAGAGCAAAATGGACCAGAGGTGAGGCTCAAGCAGCAGAGCCCTGCCTCACTAGCAAGTACAAATCTCTAAATTCAAACCCCAGTCCCACAAAAAAAAGTACTAAATGAAACAGTAACGATTATTAATTCTATTAAATATTGATCTTTCAAATATATATTTTTCAATTTTCTATGGAAGTTTTTGCTGCATCTTGAAGTATAATGACTGCCTCAAGGAAGAACACTTTTCTATTTAAGTGAACAATATCGTGTTCTAATCAAACACTGACCTCTGTGCTCAAGTAACCACTGTTTGTAGTGGAACACCAATTTTACTTGAGTGACAAATTGGATATTTGGACTTTAGTATTTATCAGACCTTTTTTCCTCATTAACAAAGCAAAGCTGTGATGTCAAGGGAAATAACATATTTGTTGCCAATGACAAAACAAGTTTTAAAATCATAGTTAGAATCTGGGGAAACTTCTGTCAAACACCCTAAGCTACTTGAAGACTTTTTTGGTGGTGATATTATTCACAAATGTGATTTTCTGTTATTATATAATAAAATGTGGTATAATGGAATTTGGAAAATATTAATTGAGCTACATTTTCCAAATGAACAATGCAAGACATTACACTGTAATCCCAGCACTCAGGAGGCTGAGACAGGAAGATGATGAGTTCAAGGATAACCCTGTGCTATATAGCAAGTTCCAAGTCAGCCTGGGCTACATAGAAAGCCCTGTCTCAAAAGCAAAAAAAAAAAAAAAAACATGTTGACTGGTGATTGTACTGATACCTATGTTGATTTATATTTTTTAAAATTTTCACCACATTCATAATATACTTCTCCTTTCCTTTCGGCCTTCCTGGAGTTTGAACTCAGGTCCTTGCACTTGCTTGAGCCACTTCACCAGTCCTTTCTGCATTGGTTATTTTTGAGACAGGGTCTCACTTTATATCCTGTCCTATTTGTGCTTCCCCATGTAGCTGGGATGGCAGGTGCTTGCCACTGCACCTAGCAATTGGTTGAGATAGGGTCTCACAAACTGGCCTCAAATCATGATCCTCCTGATCTCTGCCTCCCAAGCAGAATTACAGACTTGAGCCATGGAACCTGGTTCTTTCCCTTCTCTTTTAAACACCAATAATACCTTTATCTATCAAGCTGGATGAGAATGAGAGTATAAACAAAGGCATATATGCCTTATATGCCACAATTTTTTCAAGAAGAATTTTAATTCTAGAACTTCTATTTCTTATATGAATAACCTATCTAGAACTTTGAATTCAGAGTTTGAAACTTGGAGTTTTTGGTTTGGGCGGGGGGTTGTATTTTACACAGCAGAGACTTATTGTGAATTTTTGTAAGGAAGGAAGTAGTGTCAGATTTTTTTAAAACTAATTATAAAAATGTTTAAGAACTAAAAAAAGAGAAATTCACCTAGATCGTGTGCAAAACAGGTATCATCACCAGTGAAATAATAAAAAATTACAAACCTACTGTAGACTTTGATATGCCGATAGCATTCAGTATATGGTGGACTTTCAATGTCAGCTGAGTATCGACATTAAAAGTCCACTATATTTTGAATACATGGTTAGGTAATTTATGGGTACATTATCTCTACTGTAACTATGACTGGAAGAATGGTCAAAGATTGAAGTGAAATATGAAGGTTATGAAATCTTGCTAACAATAACCCATACTAGCAGATAAAACAAACATGCATAGCCATGGATGGGAAGAATTTTGTAATTGAAAGGATAATTTAACATTGAAATTAATGAAGGAAACTGAACCCTCAGTTACTGAGAGATTATGCAAAATTAATACAAAGTTAATGACAACTATTCATTTAAACAATCACCTCCCCTTTCCAAAATCGCTTTTGCTCACATTTTCAGGATTCCTTAGGCCAGGAGTTGGCAACTAAAGTCTTCAGACCAAATGCAGCCTCTTGTTCAACCTGTCACCTAAAAATGGTATTTACAATTTTAAATGGTTGCATTTTAAGTGATTATATAACTGTCTACATAATATCCTCCATCTTGTCTCCTGGCCCATAAAATCTAAATATTTACTATGTGGTCCACTATTTGGCAGAAAGTTTGCTAACCCCTGTGTAGAGCTGGGTTTGCTGTGTAGCCTGCAAACACAGCTCTAACAACTACCAGCTATGTGACCTCGGGCAAGTCCCTTAATCTCTGAGTCTCATTTTACTCACCTATAAATTGAGGTACACTAGTACCTAAATCAGATTGTTAAGATGATGTGCAAGGTACAAAATGTACTTGACACATCCTAGAAATTTCATAAACATTCATTCATTTCTTGTTCCTGCAAATTATGACCTTTAAGTAAGTCTATTCATGTGTCTGCAGCTAGGAGAAGCAGGAGGAAGAGATTACTGACTGGACAAAAAAACCTGTTAGTCAGACCTTGTATCTGCATAGCATTTTCCCCTTCACATTTGTGAAATCAGATTGGTTAGGAAAGAACCCAATGCATTAAAATATATACAGCTACTGAATTTACACATCAGAAAAACTATTAAAATGAACAATTCTAAGAATACACTAAATTGGTGAGGTTCAGTAAACAGCATCTCCTGTCAACATCTTTCCATTGTTTGTCTATTTCTGACAAGCATGTCAAAAAAATTTTTGGCAGTAGTAGGGTTTTGAACTCGGGCCTGAAGCTTGCTAGGCAAGTGCTGTACCACGTGAGCTACACCCCCACCCTTTGGTCAGCAAATCCCAACCCTTTTTCTTCCTAGTATGCTAGACAGGTATAGCACACTCCCGCCAGAAAGGGAGCCCTGGGCAGTCTATGGTCTTCAAAATGGCCTGTGGCCCCTGAAAACATTTCCCCAGTGATTT